TAGAAGCACCCTTTTGAGCTAGTACAGCCATGAGTCTTCTTGGGAATGATGCAACAAGTTTTTCACACCTGGATTTGGGGATCCTCTGCCATTCTTCCTTGCAGATCCTCTCCAGTTCCGTCAGGTTGGATGGTGAACGTTGGTGGACAGCCATTTTCAGGTCTTTCTAGAGATGCTCAATTGGGTTTAGGTCAGGGCTCTGGCTGGGCCAGTCAAGAATGGTCACAGAGTTGTTCCGAAGCCACTCCTTCGTTATTTTAGCTGTGTGCTTAGGGTCATTGTCTTGTTGGAAGGTGAACCTTCGGCCCAGTCTGAGGTCCAGAGCACTCTGGAAGAGGTTTTCTTCCAGGATATCTCTGTACTTGGCCGCATTCATCTTTCCTTCAATTGCAACCAGTCCTGTCCCTGCAGCTGAAAAACACCCCCATAGCATGATGCTGCCACCACCATGTTTCACTGTTGGGATTGTATTGGGCAGGTGATGAGCAGTGCCTGGTTTTCTCCACACATACCGCTTAGAATTAACGCCAAAAAGTTCAATCTTGGTCTCATCAGACCAGAGAATCTTATTTCTCATAGTCTGGGAGTCCTTCATGTGTTTTTTGGCAAACTCTATGCGGGCTTTCATATGTCTTGCACTGAGGAGAGGCTTCCATCGGGCCACTCTGCCATAAAGCCCCGACTGGTGGAGGGCTGCAGTGATAATTGACTTTGTGGAACTTTCTCCCATCTCCCTACTGCATCTCTGGAGCTCAGCCACAGTGATCTTTGGGTTCTTCTTTACCTCTCTCACCAAGGCTCTTCTTCCACGATTGCTCATTTTGGCTGGACGGCCAGGTCTAGGAAGAGTTCTGGTCGTCCCAAACTTCTTCCATTTAAGGATTATGGAGGCCACTGTGCTCTTAGGAACCTTGAGTGCTGCAGAAATTCTTTTGTAACCGTGGCCAGATCTGTGCCTTGCCACAATTCTGTCTCTGAGCTCCTTGGTCAGTTCCTTCGACCTCATGATTCTCATTTGCTCTGACATGCACTGTGAGCTGTAAGGTCTTATATAGACAGGTGTGTGCCTTTCCTAATCAAGTCCAATCAGTTTAATTAAACACAGCTGGACTCCAATGAAGGAGTAGAACCATCTCAAGGAGGATCAGAAGAAATGGACAGCATGTGAGTTAAATATGAGTGTCACAGCAAAGGGTCTGAATACTTATGACCATGTGATATTTCAGTTTTTCTTTTTTGATAAATTTGCAAAAATTTCTACATTTGTTTTTTTCTGTCAAGATGGGGTGCTGAGTGTACATTAATGAGAAATAAAATGAACTTTTTTGATTTTAGCAAATGGCTGCAATGAAACAGAGTGAAAAATTTAAAGGGGTCTGAATACTTTACTTACCCACTGTATATCTCATTCAAGAAGCCTAGTAGTGACAACATCTCTGTGTAGTCAAATCAATTAAAGAAAGTACACAATTATATTTTCACAATTATTATTCTCAGTTTTCAAATTTAACTGGATGGATTATAAATAATACATAGACATGCATAAATAAATGTTCTTCTCATTTCAAAGTAAAATAATGGCTGGATTAAAGAATAACTGATACAACAGAAAGCTTTTGCAAAAATGTGCATCTTTAAAAAGGAAGTACTTAAAAATTATTTCACTGAATTGCCCTGCAGCTTTAAATTCAGTTCATTCAGGCGTGAAGTGATGTCAATCAAAAAGGCCACAATTATATTTTTCTCATCTTCTAAAAAGAGAAATTAGTGAGCATGGACTTTATCTGTGGTTATAAAACTACTTGTTTCAGCTCTATTCTCTCTGTTGACATCATTGTTGGTCAGTGAATTCATGTGTTAAGATTCTGATCATATTGGGCTCATAGGTTTATTTTCTGTGTCTTCATTTCAGATGCGAGTGGGTACGTTTGCTGAAAAGAGTTGTGCTTTGTCTGGTAGTGACGCTTCATATTACCACTTTTAATAATCTCCACAGTCTCTGAACTGTCCTTGGGAAGAATAAACCTGTAAGAGTCTGTCCATTCTTGGTTAAAGACTCTGGTCTCTCTGACCACTTTTCTCTTTTTGGAGAACGTCATGTGAAATAACTTCTCTGACCCACGTAATTCTCCTACTCTTCGGTCTCTTTCCTCAGGTACATCCCAAGTCTCTTAATTGCATCCCCGTTTCCCTCACTTGGGTCCTTTCCTTGCATCTTAGTCCCTCCCACCAGGGATGCATGGAGGAAACCATGTGAGGAGAGAGGAACGAGGAAATATGTTTTAAGACTCTCCTTTCCTCAGTTGCGTCACGTGAAGCGACGTCTGTTTCTGATGATCACAGCTGGATCAGCTGTCAGTCGGCTTTGAGAGACTTTTGAGAAGTTTGTCTGTTCACATGATCACTGTACTTAATAATAGTGACTATACTAATAAAGACACAGTAATCACCACTGTAGAGGTGTTTTCTCTCAGTAGTCTGTTAACAAACTCTGTCCTGTGTTCCGTTTATAAGCGCAGGATCGATTTCTACTGGCGGAATGCGATCCTTATTTATGAATTATTTGCGTCGATCCCTCGGGGTCCGCGGAAGTACTGCAGGGGGTCCGTGAAATGATTAGTTGATGAGACAATTTTATTTTATTTTTTTCCAAACATGAATCTGTCCATTATTGTAATAGTTCAGTATTGTATGCAAGATAACAGGTATGTTTATGCATGGCAGTGGCACTAATGGGCCATCACAAATTTTTGTTTCCACATTTATGTTTAAAATGAAAACATCAATTTGAATAGCTTGTAGCATTGATTATCATGCAATTGACAGACAATGTTATCGGCATTTGTATCAGCTGACAAGGTATGTTTATAAATGGCAGTGGCACGGCCACCCTACTCACTGTACCTTGCACATGTTTAAAATAAAAACATAAATATATTAACCTGTGTATTATTTGAATAGCTTAGCACAATAAAGAGGTATGTTTATACATGGCACTAGGCCCAGTTTAATACAAAACACCATTTTATACAACTATTATACGTTTTCTTTACATTTTTTGTTCTTGTTGTGAGAGAGCTTATCCATTGTCACTTGTCTAGTTTTGTATTGCTTATTCGTAGTAAAAGTTATTTTTGAGAACAGACAATTCGGCCTATTTTAGAAGATACCCATTCCACAGAAGAACATGAATGAACAGCTCAGGACCAGACATGTTTTCTTGATGACCTGAAGCTACAGCAGATGCTTTTATGTTGCTCTGGGCCGTATTGTAGGGTAATGGTCTAGATGGGCCAAAACCAAGCATTGTCCAAACTGCTGTAATGTGCTTGGTGACATGAGTGATGCCTTTTTAATATTGCACTTCGAACCATTAGACCACACCAAAACATTTTCTCACCAAGGGTGATACCCAAGATATTGGTTTCTATAACCTGCTCTATTGAACTACCCTGAATTGTGAGCGGCAATTTGTGTTTTTTCATGTTTGTGTTGAACTACAAATAATACATTTTGACTTTGAGACAATGAGACATCTGAATTACCTAGTAATAAAACAAATTAAATTCTCTCTTAAGGCTTGTATTTAAATCAGTAAAATGAGTGATGCCCAATATAATCCTGAATTACAATAAAATAAATTGGGCCACATTACTGTTGGATATTGTAAGGTTAGGTAGGCCATTTGCAATATTGAATATAATAGAGAACAAAACTGATATATTTTTTGCAAACCCTCACTAATGCATTTTATTTTAGCTTACCACAGATATATTGGTCTAAGTGTATATGCCAGCCAATTAGTAAGAGTGTGAGCAACAATAAATCCTCGAGATGTGTTTGATAGAATCAGTGTTGACAAGAAAGCAAGCACTGAAAAGTATATTTTCATCTACAAAAATGTGAACCCTTCATACTGATATTGGTAACGGCTTGATGAATCCCCTTTTAGCCGGCTTTAGTGTTCCTATGTCAGGCTGCATCTCTTTGAAAACTCTAGTTTCTTGGATCCTGACATGGCTAACATTTTTGCAACTGGATTGTACATAGAAGTAGTATCTTGAAGCATTTCCCACCACACCTGTTGTCATCAGCTTGCATGTAATCAGTGATAAAAATAGTGATAGTAATAATGGGTGATAGATGTTAATGCCATTTTTCAGATATCATGATTTACATCCTCTTCATGTGTTAAAGTCTTTCCAGGTTTTCTTTTTACTCCATCTTCTCTTCCACTCTCGTTTTCTTGCCTGGCGTGTTGTGTAATGTGTACTCTAGCATGAGCAACAATGGAAGTGTGTGTGAAGGCCAAACTGAAGGAGGGCAGGTTTCCATGGCAGCCACGAGCTGTAGCTGCAGCTTTGTCAGATAGACAGTTGGATAGATTGTGTTAAAGCTTTACAAGTAGAAGGGATTTCATATAGAGTTGAATGGTTGGTATTCCCCCTTTGTTCTCCTCTCTTTCCCCAAATTGCAATTGTATTGTGTTTGTTGTCATGGCGATGTATAGATTAGTTACGCCCACATTCCCCTCCCCTCTCTTCACATCTCTCTCTTGCTCTTTCAGTATGAATGCTCAATTTCAGAACATTTACTGGGGCTCCGCCCTCCTTTGCTGGCATCACTGCCTGCAGTACGTATGTGAATGTGTTTATTGTCCCATGTTGTGGTGGGAAAAGGAGGATTTTACATACAACTGCTGTACACAGTTGTACAAACTGCAACAAAACATACTGCTGCTGTTTGCTGGCTGCAGCTTTATCTTCACAGTACATGCATGATAGTGGTGTTGGGTGTTGACTGTTGAACCATTCCTTTAACTATGAACAAACCTCTCCCTTAACTGTGGTAAAACAGTGGAGGTTTTATTTGTTTCACTGTGCTATAGCTGTACTGGAGCAGTGTGAGGGTTAAGCTGCTAAAACTAAACACTTAATTTACTGTAATAGATGGACTATTTTATCCCCTCTCTCACTCTTTATTTTTCCTTTCTTTCTCAGATTGACTGGAGCTTTACCATGCCTGTTGCCTCCACCAGGAAAGAGCCTGGTGAGATCAGACACCTTCCTCCTCATTATGTCCTATGACCAATGTGTTCTTTGTTTGTACCCCCTACCTCACATCCAATTTACCACAGGGCTGTTCAATGGGTAAAACAGGAACAAGAATATCTGACTAAGTTCAAAAGTTATCTTTTACTTAAATGATGAGAGTAGGGTTTCTCTCTGAAACTTAATCTGTTTGATGCTAATATTATTGGGCTTTACTCATGTAACATTTGTAATGGAGGACTTTTATTTGTAAGAAAAGTATTTTTACACTGTGCTCGAGTAAATCATTTAATTATTAACATATTGGTTGTGTAAATATGAATGTTGATGACAGCAACAGTCGTGCCGGGAAACGGGGCTCCATCAATCCCAGCAGTCTGGGCAAGGGGTGCTGTAAAGCTGACATGGGGGTGCGCAGGCCACTTTCTTCGTCTATGCGGAACTAGAGCCGCAGAGGAAATGCTGTCTAGTTAATTAATAGGAAACACTGAGAATAAAACCATACATATGGGTAAGATATATGATAAAAGAGCTGATCACAATGATGATTCCACCTATGATGACAATGTCAAACAGCTACATCAGCAAGCAGCATTGGGAACACATCAACTGTTATGAAGACAGAGGAGAGGCATTCTGCTGAAGCAATAAGCAAAGCAGTGGAACATTGACCTAGGGCTGTACCCAATAGTTCACAGCTTTGAAGCTTCATTCATAACCTTGTCATTCTCAATTGTCTCAGTCCTAAGTCAAAATTGAATGGGGGGAAAAAGGTAATCGCATCTAAAATTCATATCAAGTTTTTATCTAACGAAATGTTTTATTCCGTATGTGTGGGTGTTTAGCCTTTCAAAAACAACAGTTTCACTAAGGTCAGAATTTGAAGAGAGGCAAGTATTAACGGGCATTCTTGCACCAATCGAATAGCACCATAAATTATATAACTCATAACCGCAATAACTCAAAATCCTATTTTACTTATTTTTTTAAGGTTGTTGACATCATGAAATATGACAGACAATCAAATCTTCATTCGCAAACCTCAATAAAAGCTATGAATGTAAAGAAAAATTATATTTGGTACAGCCCTTGAACATGAAGTTGGCATGCCGACAAACTGACTGTTTCCCGACAGTGGCAGGCTGTGCATTTTATACCTAGGCCTTCACTGTTGTCCTGCAGCTGAAATACCACCTTATAACCACATGATGGCGCCACAGTTACTATTCGTTTCTAAGGCTGTAACTATGTACGTATTAAATGTACGAGACTTACAATATGTTTGAATAGTACTAGAGCCTCTGGAAAATGCAGAAGCTTATATTCAGGAAAATAGAATGTTTTCTGCAATCATGGAGGACAGTGGTTCTCAGCTGGTCTGGCTGTGGGACCCACCATCATTCCTTAATAACAAGTCGCGGCCCAAAGAGATAGTCTTATGATTTTACTTTCACAACTTGAACATTTTACGTACTACTGCAATGTCTTTCCTCATCTCAGTCCCCTGTGTCATGGTGTGTGGTACATCTCACTCAGTCAGAATGCCCATATTTGATTGGCTGAGCTGCATCACGTGATGTGATTCACTACCCGACATGCCTCTGCTGTTAAGTTTCGTTTCACGATAGTCACGCGCTTGACCACTGACCAATCACAGCACACTCTGCACCTTGCGGCAGAGCTGTACATGGACACTGAGCTGCACGTAATGCTGACGTCATTATAGGCCGGCTAGCAGGCTCTGATGCGTCAAAGAATACGCCCAACATGTCAAACTAAAGATCTGATTGGTTGAAGAATATGACAATCAACAATATCGTCCCCATTCACTTAAACTGCACATGGATGCACTTGAGAATCTGCAGGCCTTGGGCCTCTGTTCTTACCTAGAGACACAGAGGTGAAATCTGATTGGATAAAAGCTCTACTTAAAACAAGCTGCACTGGAAGCAGAGCAACAGAGGAAGACAGTAGCTGTGCAATGAGAAAATAAGATAATGGGAAAATATTTTTATAAATTATAATACATGTGGTGTATTTAAGAAATTATTAAATTATAAAATAGATATAGCTTTGTGATTCTGTTTAGGCCAGCAGAGAAGGCCTTGCAGGCCCTGACGGCCCACCACTGTTGCCTGATGGGCTTTAGTTTGCCATGTTATGATTTGAGCATATTTATTCATGCCAAATGCAGCACTTGTGAGAGTTTCTGAACAATCGTGTAACCGTTGTTCGTGGCGGGGCGGCCATTTTACTTGACTCCCCATGAAACAGCAAGCTGATGTATCTCCACTGGACCTGCTCAAATCTGTCCCAAACTTGCCATGCTTGATAACAGTTATAGCCTGAGGATGTCTACAAGCCAATTTTCCATCCAAGTAGGAAAATCAGCGTTATTTGAAAAACAATATCCGATTCACATGACATTTACATGATGTTGTCTACATTTGATATAGAGCAACATAATGCATGTTGACGCGCATTTAGCGCCACACAGTGGTTACAGGAAGTGGTGGACTATTTGCAAAGCATAATTTCCAGGATCAAATACTCCATGCAGTAAAAAAAAACAAAAAACGTCTAACTCTTGGTAGCGTTGTCCGATGGTTGCAGACATTCTCTGCCGCGTAAGCCGAGGTCTCGCAAGTACCCCCGACGTGCCCAAAGGTGCGAGGGCCCGTTCATCGATGTTTGCAGCTTTAATTAGGGCCCGAGCAACCGACAACGTCGGGCCAGTGAAGGCCCTATTGAAATTGTAAGGGGTATTATTATTATTAGGGCCCGAGCAACCGACGTCGGGCCGCGAATGCCCTATTGAAATTTGAATACACATAGTACATCGGGCGCATATTTTGGGAACTTGCCATACTTGCCATACTCAAACCAAATGTTGCACACTTGTCAGGCCTGGTGAAAATAGTCATCTGACATCTGTCTCTTGCACTCCCTGGAAGTTGGACCGGCGACGCCCCTCGGCCAGTATGTCCGATTTACTTGAAATTTGACACACGTCCAGCTTCGCTAGCTCTACAAAAAAGCTTCTCAGACCCCTAAGCTCCGCCGACTTAGATTTTCCGCCATTTTGAATTTTGTGAAAAATACATTTTTGCAAACTACTCCTACACGCTGCGTCCGATTGCTACCAAATGTGCTCTGGATCATTATTGGATCTACATCATCAAAAACCTATTGATATCTCTTTGCATTTACAAGATATGGACCAATAAACATATTGGGGGCGTGGCTTATATATCAATACAATAACTTCTCAACTGTTTGTCCTAAAATCACCACATTTCGAGCATATATGCACATCGCATCCTGTAACATACCCTGACATTTCAATTTAATTCACCCACTAGGGGGCACTACAGCAAACCCGTCATTTTGTGATTTTTGTTTTTTGTCACTTTTTGCGGTTTTCAGCCTTTGTACTTTAACGAACTCGTCCTACAAAATTAATTGGATCAACCTCAAATTTGGTCAGGATGCTCTTCAGACCTTTGTGACAAAGTTATTAAATTCGTGAGTTTTCATGGAAGAACCTTCACGTGGCGTGGCGGCCATTTTGCCTCATTCGGCATGAACAATAAAGTTGTTATAACTCCAAGGTACATTATTCAATCTGCAAAAAATTACATATGCATGATGCTACTTCAAGCTTGAGCATACATCAATTTGGAGCAGCCCCAGCTCTGCGTTTCACCTACATGTATGAAACTTGGTAACTACATGTATCCCCTAGAGCAGGGGTCTCAAACTCAAGGCCCGCGGGCCGAATCCGGCCCGCCATGTAATTTTATGTGGCCCCTCGAATCCAGCAAAAAAAAAATTAAATTAAATTTAAAAAAAAAACAATTATTAAAAGTTAGACTTGATCATAAAAGTATCCCCGTAGTCGAAATTATGAGACAAAGTCATAACTATGATAGAAAGTCATAATTCTGATATAGAAAATTCTCTTGGGACCATGCTCTAAACCCTACCGGAAGTCGGACATTTTGATTTTTGTGTCATTTTTCGATAGATTTTGGCCTATTTCTAGTCGCTATACTTTAACGAACTCCTCCTACGCACTTTGTCAGATCCACTTAAAATTTTGTCATTTCAATCTCAAGACCGTTGTGATTAAAAGTTATCAAATGCTTTACGTTTGACCAAATAGCTTAGCCGTAGCGGGTGGCTACTTTACGTGATTCTCCATCAAAAAAACTGATTTCCTAATGCTGCGTTCACACCAAACGTGTCGCGAATTATTCACGCGAGTAGATTACATACAAAGTCTATGCACAGACGCGATGAGACTGTCGCGGCACGAATCTGCGATGGCGCGTCGCGATGGACGCGAATCCGCGGCGCGATGGACGCGAATCGACCCAACGCGCGAGTTGAAATTTTTCAACTTCTGTGAAATATTCGCGTTACGCCCCGGTGCGATAGCTTATCAGCGTTGAGTTGCTCCCCCTGTCATCAGCGACGTCCTGCCGTTGCTGAATCAGAAACAATGAAGGAGAAATTAATCGTGACGCGTCCAGCGCGATTGGCGCGATTCACGCGGATGAACACTTGGTCCCCGGCATTTTGACCGGTGGCACGATGGACGTGAATATGCTGCGCGGTGAATGTGCGGCGCGATGAATTCAATCGGATTGTATGAACCCTGTTTGTGCCATACGGTGACAAAATAGGGTATTTATGAATTATTGTATTGCTTTGTATTAAGTATTTAATTTAGCAAAAGATCTGAGGTGTTCCTCTACACATGTGTGTGGTTGTGTGAATTGTGTTTTCATAATCACGCTTAAGCAATCGTAAAGAACTGTAGATGCATGACAAATCTCCTTTTAAGGTACACTTTAAAAAATGCAATTAATTTGCAATTAACTATCATGCGATAAGTATTTTAATTGAAAATTGTCAATTGACAGCTCTAAAGCAGTCCTACTGTTTAGCTAGAGAAGCTCTGTCTCATTATTTTCCTCGTTTCTCCCTTCTGTGTCTGTGTTGTAGTGCCCCAGATGTTGGACGCGATGAGCGACAGCACCACCAGCTCCACCACAGCCAATGACTTGGACCTCATCTTCCTCAAAGGCATCATGGAGAGTCCTCAGGTGTGGAACACACACAAATACTCACTAAATTACATCAATAATTAAAATGGACTGGATTAAAATGTGTGTGTCGGTGCGTCTGTTCGTGTGCACAAATGTATGTATATATATATATGTGTATATGTGTGTGTGTGTATATGTGTGTGTGTGTATATGCATGTGTGTATGTATGTATATATGTGTGTGTGTGTGTATATGCATGTGTGTATGTATGTATATATGTGTGTGTGTGTGTGTGTGTGT